ACCGGGAACCTACCAATCGTCTTGTCGGGTCCAGGAAGGAGAATTCTCACTTGTAATAACTTTTGGTACAATGACGAGGCTTTGGATCGGGTCATGCCTCCAGTTAAGTAGCCTAGCAGATCAGAGGAATGTACTCTCCGACAGCAACAAAGGTTTTTTTCTCCCCGTCTTACATCATAGCTTCTACCATAGTCAATAAGGAACTATCGTTACAGCAGGTTGTTGCGAACACTATCCGATACGCAAACCTATTCCTAAACAAGGGTTGAAATGCAGCCATTCTCAAGGCACAAGACGCGTCCTGCTTCTGCTCATATCTGGTCTTTCTCTACGATTCGCTTCTTTACCAAAACTCAGTTTCGTAATTCCATGACGTTTGTTTCGCATATATTGAATGAACGTGTCAAGGATCAGACTCGACCTTCCCGTCGCCAGGCTGAGAGCAGACCATAAATACTGACGGGCTTTTGAGGGGGCGTTCTGGCGCCAACAAACAAGCCGTTGATACGATGTAGCGAATGCAACTGATGATCTTACCACATCCCGGACTTTTCACATATTGCCTGTTCCACTAGCTCTACCAAGCAATGATCCTTTGACATGACCGCTCTCTTATTTCTACTCTCCTTCTCTCTTCGCCCAATGCACCAAGTGCCTATCCGTATTTCCACTTACTCATTGCTGATCAATCCGAATTTATTAGGTTTCTTACGAGCTGACTCCCAAACTCTAATGCCCCCTTGTCTATACGTAAGTGCTTTCTAGATTGGCTTAATAACCTGAGTTGATACTGTCTTGGAATGATCCAATAAGCTCATTGTCGTACCTTAATGACAATAACATACCCAACTCAGACCCCTACCACCTCTTGCCAATATGGTCGATGAGGTAGACTAGCTTATAAAAGTCTCGTATTCGTCTATATGTTATTGTTATAGTTAGTTTTGGTTCATTTTGCGGCCTGTAAGACGTCATTAAGTTCCTCACAGGGATATGCTTGCTCACGCCGGCTTTCCTCTGTTCTCAAATATTTTGAAGCTGATAGATATTTCGAACGATGAGTCGCCTGTCGGAAATGTCTTGAACGCTCAAGCATCGAGTGGAAGTGACTTTGATTGCTTTTACCGGCTTCTTCCTATTAGTAATCGCTTAAAGCTGGTCGTTATCGATGTCGAAATGTAAGAAGCATATGAGACAGTTAGTAATAGTTACAACAGAGACATGATTATAATCATCTTGTCTGGATGAACGTGCTGCGATAGCTTCACATAGCATTCGAGCTAAGATAGCATTGGAAAGTACCGCCTTGCTATTTATTACATTAAGGCGTCTCTTAGCCTCAATGAGTATAATGAAATCGAGCGACTTGATGCCGTCTCCAGAATTGAGATGTAAGCCCCCGTCATTGATAGATGTGATTGAATTCCGACTTATCTGGAAATCATGTCGTTCCCGCTGTTTTGTCTCGATAGCAGTCGAGAGTTCCGGTGTCTGAGAATACCAGAGTAAGTGCCGGAATATACAAAAGGCCAACCGTACCGTGTAGTCCTTAAGGATCAGTCCTAATCGCGGCTCTGTCTTAACTTAGCCTTCTGAAGGTGGGCTAGAAGCGAACTGTTGGCTATAAGAAGGAGGGTCAGAAGGGAGGACTTCCATTGTGTTGACCAAATCACCATGGTTGACTGTTGTTCAGATTCGCTTTCGATTGGATAGGTGATCGTCCTTTGTTGGCGTCTGTTCATCTGATATGTCCACTGAGTTTGATGGACGGAGATCCTTGAGTGCAGATCAAATTGGGGCTAGGCTTACGCCTACTGTTTTGTCGTGAACAAGCTGAGTCTCCCGCATGTCACGATGCTCTGACTGTCGACCCATGATGAATCTTTTGATCTGATCTTTGCCATGGCCTGTTTTGATGACCGTTTCTGGGCGACTAAGTTGGCTGGATGAAAATGACAGAGGTTGGGTGTTTCGTTGGATGATCACATGACATGCAACAAGATGGTCTACATCCCAGTCACTGCCACATCTCATGTTAACGTTCGCCAGTGAAGCCGTAATGTTTGTGTGTTGTTTGTTAGGCACTTTCGCTAGTAATGGTACGAAAGTAATGAGACGACAAATTATAGTCTACAGGAAGATAAGGATTCGTCTTCTGTTCCCATTGTCAATACTATATCTTCGGGATCCCAAGCATAGTCTTTCCTTTTGCAAGAACTTTTGTCCACCTCGATCGACATCATATCCATCAAACCCACAGCTACAAAAGTGAAGCATGCGCGACTCTCTAACAACAATGCTTGCTCTAGAGCTACGGTGATTCGTTGGTGGTATTTTTGTTACCGGCTCACAGCTGATTTCAGAACATTGACAGGCACAACAGCAACGCAAATGGGGATCTGTGTTTCCGCAAGCGTATCGCCAAGTCCTTAACAATAGCAAAAATATTCTTAAGTATAACGCGAAAGTAAACTCTCAGCTAGTTAATCAATCGTAAATAACACAATTATATCACCCTTTACCCTAGAAAAGGTACGATGGCGCGGGATCTTGTTAAGGTACCTGTCCAAATAGAGTATCGGACTTGACATAGATACCGGATCCAGCCTATCGGTACGATGAGTTTACTCATATGGATCATCATCAAGAAAGTTGTGGTTCAAAAACGATCTTTGAGAATCACTGCCGACAACATTTCAAGCGGTATATCGGTCGACCACGAACTCCAACGTACCGACCACCTCAAACACAGGCACTGCACAGGTTGACCCGTCTATACACAAGTCAGGTCTATTTCGTTGATATACTTAGATTCTTAGTATAATAATGATTGACGCTTCCTTTCGTTGCTCCGACACCACGCTGTCTTCCTAAGCACCTTGCTTTGTTTCACTCGCCTCCATCGGAGGTTAAGAAGGTAACTACTCTATAATTGGCGATACTGAAGAGACCATAACATCATAGCTTAGCTCGAGACTGATAGACAGGAAGTTGAGTTGAGATTGGTGGCTAGCTATGCATGGTGGCTGCACGACCGTGAGTGCTTTTTATCTCAATAAGTAATCCTCTTGAAGGAATACTACTGTTTGTCTAATGAATCAGCGATGGATTATTGAAATCCATGTAGAAGACGTTGATGCTTACTATGATCAGAAGGTATGTCGAACTGTCGGTTTTATTCGTCAGACGGCGTCCTAGCGAGTGCCGTTGAGCCGTCCATGTGTTTGTCAGGTGGTCCCGTCCCACGGCTAAGGTTCTGTAACTGCAGTTACCATGTTTTTCTTATGTGACCAATCGGCCTGTAAGTTCAGTGTCGCTTCAGCGACATCCGCCTGTGAAGAACACATTGGGGAGATCTGCAGGCAGCCGACGGTATGCCATCAACCTCAACCTGGGCCAAGAATCAATAGCTGCGCTGTCAGACTCGCTAGAACGGTACGAATAATCTACTAATGATTCCCGTGAATCGAATCACTCACGGCACTATCGAATTCATTTTCAAGCATCTATAAGGCTTTCCTAACAACAGCGGTCTGGCTTGCGGCATCATATCAACGACAAAGCATACATCAAATGCCCCACAAGGTAGGGCTGGCCACGGTCCGTTCGAATAGACTTCAACTCCAATAGGCCTCAATTCCGATCGTTGGTGTCCGAGCTGTTCATGGAAAGAGTGAAAGATGTGAGAGTATAGATGCCTCATCAAGGTAAGCGGCGAGCCTAGTGATAAATTGCACGTTATCAGGTTGCGAAATATGTCTCAGCCATCACACACTTACAAAACGCGTAATCCATACCCATATCTTCTCGCACCTACGCCTCGATTCCCCGAACCAGAAATTCAAGTCCCGCAGTCTCGATTTTCGATAACATACTGCATGGTGGGGATAACGCAGCGGTGTCAGCTTTCCTTCTGGACTGGGGGTTTTATCAAGGAAGTATCAGCAGCCACCCATTCTTATTCCTGGTTATGTGGTACATTAGATCGCAAGCCTTTGGTAACATAATATGGGGCAGCATGAGCAATCTGTATATAGTTCAATAAGATTGAGAAGAAGGGTATACAAGTGTGGGACAAGTGCGAGTGCGAGAATGAAGACATATCTTCGATCAGTCCGAGAAACGTCGCCCTAGTAGTGCCCATGTGAATCTCTACTCTGCCACTTCTATAGTGACAAGACTCGTAGCCCATTCATGGCGACATGGGTTAAGATAGTAACATATCACAGCGATTAGAGGTACTCTCATGGTAAGTTACCAAGGTGGAGGTTCACCTTCACTTAACTGCAGTTCCTTGCCAAAGAAACAAACTGGGAGCATTGTTTGAGGCAGCTGTAGTCAACAACACATGACATCGGTCGCCTTCAATTGGGTGGAAAAGAATATAAGATAAAACAGTAAAACGAGAGATGAGTAAAGATTGTGGGGAGGAGTGGATGGGTTGAAGAAGCTCAAGAGGAGCAACAGGCTGCAGCTCCCGTGACGAAATGATGTATCAAGCAAAAACAAATTGACAGCGAGCTAGACACAATATGAACCGTGGCTATAGCGGCATAATCGTTTGTATCAGTACAGCTTGTTTGCGGAATTGACAATGAAAGAATGCAGGAATCCGGCGCCATAATTTGGCACAAATGTCACAGCTTCATTTTCCACCGCGTTTGCTTGTTTCTTAACGTATCAAAGAGATCATACTGTCACTGTGAATCAAATCGTGGCTGTTTGTTTGCTGTATTAGTCTGTCGTTCGCTACCTTATTTGCGCGGCCTCCGTTCAGTGAACAAGTGACAGTATCCTATCGTAATGCACGGCTGATGATATCCTTGATTCAATCCACTTCTCTTGTCTGGTATTACCTTAGTGGATGACTGCATACGACTGAAAACCCATGCTATATTTAGAATGTATCCGATGTCGAGATTCTTGGATGGTTTTTACCTGTTGGGAAACTACATGGCCTTCAAACAAAAATGTTATATTGAAGGCGGTCAATCGCAAAGATGTTGTCTCTCGCCATTCAAACTAAACTAAGTACCCCCAATCTTGATTCAACGTCAAAAGGCACAAGAATCCCATCTCACCAAACATCTCATCAACTGTCCACCTACAATTCTTTCATCATATGCAAGTCCAAAAGCACCGACCACATCTGCCAAATTCGCATCAAAGATTACATCACCAAGTCACAAAATGGCATCAAGCCAAAGATATTCTTCTGCTCCCACATTCGCGGCACCATCCTCATCGCCGTCCAGCGCGCAGCCTCCGAATTGCAAATCACCGCTAAAATACCACCTTTCGCAGAGCATCTTGTCTCCAAGCCCCGCAACTTCTGGCCGCTTGTTAGTCGCTGCAACCTCAACCACGGCGGTCAGGATACGCACGGCGTGAAGTTCAACAGCCTTGTTTTGGCAGCACTTCGTAATTTATCAAATATGTACAGCGCAAGGCGGTCAGACATGGTGCGCTGATGCTCCTGCCTAGGGGCTGGATTTCAAGGAAGGGTTTCAAGGGGGAGAGGGAGGCGGGGGAGTGGTTGTTGGACTTTAGCAGCCTGGATCTTCTTGTGCTGCTAATACTGTTCGACGGCATGGGGATAAGTCCTTGTAAGCTGGTCGTCTATCTACAACGATTTCTCGTGTCCGCTCAGAAGACCTGGCCACCATACTTGACGGTCTGAGCTTACTAGATAGTAGCGATGTGCAGGAAATTAAGGTAAGAGTCGATCCATCCCGAGCAGGCAGGATGAGACTGTGGTTGACCTTTGCTCTAATCATCACTAGAGGATACCCGGGTACCCAAATTACATTGTGAGAGAGTCTTGACAATAGCTAAATTGAGACAGAAGCTGGGCGAAAGTCTAAAGCGCTCACGACAAATAAAGTCAAGAGATGGCAGAACTTCAAAGTGATCAGAGTACTAGTCTGAGTCAATCAAGGCATTACATAATATTCTGAGACAGGCTTTTCCACTGCAATAGATCTTGGCTGATGGGAGCGGATGAAGGAGGTCATGAGCCATGAAGAAGTTGTATTTACTGAATGCCATTTGTTGTGTTTGAAGAAATGTAAAATTTTCTGGTGCGCGAGCTACAGAAGCTCAATTCTCTCCAACATCATTTAAAATGCACAAATTCAAAGGGAAACAGAGACACTCCACGCGTTTAGTTCCACCATGTGTATTTGGAGAAAGTCAAGCCAAGCAAGGTCAGGATGCGCATTGTCGTATGATGAAAGGCTACCACTATACGTATCTTGGCGACAATGCGTGCAGTATGTAAACTGTTATCTTACAATGTGTCTTTCTAGACCCCAGCGTAGTGGTCTCAAAGGCAGTACTCTGAGGTGCTGCATCTTATAGTGTCTGTTATTTCTGATTTGACAAGAGGATGGTAGTGCTTGCTCGTTCCTCTCTTGGACACCTCGAAGGCAATACGGGGTGTTCACGAACTTGAGTCTATCAAGTCGATATTGGCTGGTTGTTGCCTCAGCCGTGTTGGAGATGTGGCAGCTCCATATCTATCTCGACTACGAATTGCACACTCGCTGGACTCGGGCATCCCCTGTCGGGAGAAGAGCGCTAATATCTTATCTACTGTAGTCCTGCTACAAATTCTCGATCCACAGATTGATCAAGAGCTTACAGCAAAAGCCACTTCCCAGAAGATTTGAGACGATAAAGTTATTGCCACGATATCTACGCCAACACTAACGGCTCCAATTCAGGAGAACGCTACCCACAGGGCTCGAAGTCCAGCCAACACCCACCCTGTAGCAGCCACAGCGCAGCCTCCTTCACCTCGCCCTTGCCCAACCACAAAAGCGTCGCCCCCAAAAGCAAAGTGTGAAACAGCCATGGCGCCCGCGCTCAAAGTGTGTCTCGGCGGTTTGTTGACCCACTGAGCTTGAGGTATCGATATCGTGCAGCACACAACTCCAATATCTGCGAACAAGTGTCCATCGAATGTCTGGAGTGATACCACTCAATCAAAGCATGAGTATTTCCGGCATGCTGAATGCAATGTTGGTGAACGAGCCGGTCTTTGTTCAGATAGCGGTCCTATCCCAGTACAATAATAGGATATAGTGCGTAAATCCGTCTTTTCTTGTACATACGACCAAAGGTAGTGGAAAATACGGGATCCCGTCCGCTCTCCCATAGTCAAGCCACTAACCGGCGGATTAGTAGTTGGGTCGGTGACGACCAGCGAATCCCCGCTGTTGTATGTTTTTGCCATTTTCGGCTAGAGCATCCCGGCAGTCTTTTAGTACCCTGAAAAGAAAATATCTCCATCAACATTAGGTGCGCGCTCTGTATATCTTAATTTTTAACTTCATTAGCCAAAGACCAAGCTAATACAATCGCTGTTCTGATGACTTTAATCTTTATAGTACGGCGTTGTTAAACTTGTAAATGTCTGTCGTTTGTCCCTTCGGCAGACTGTCTTCGAAAATCCCAGGCGTTAATGCCTAAATGAATTTTTGGGACAGCAACACTCGTCGTTAGAGTCATGCTAAATCTTTATCTCAGTCAGTTTTGAGTAGCCATTTAGGTTCGCCTGATGTCGAGGGTGTCTCAAATGCATGCTTACCACTCCACTTTGTTGTCGAATACGTATAGAGGCTCGGAGTCAGAGGAGGGTGATTGGTCGACAGAGCACTACGCTCGTCGGTAAAGTTGTCAATACTAAACAGCGGCCTTAGGGATGGAATACTATCGCTGGCGACGTACGACTGGGAGGTCTTATGTAAAAAGTTAGCATCTTGATTTGGGCTTGGGATCTATCAGGTAGCTTGGTAGTTACGATGTCAATTTGCCACCTGAGTATCGGTAGCCGTGATACTTGCGCGAACCCATGCGTGATTCTCTTGATATTGACTGATAGATTGGTGGGGCATAGCGGTTTCAGCGTTTAGTCATTCGGTCCAGCTCGTGGGAGACTTGCACCGCACTGATCCTGTTGCACATCCTTTAGGTGCAAGGTTTATCACCACCCTGTGGTAATGCCCCAACCTAGAAACTTTGGAACATGCGAGCTATGTCTCATCTTCCAGCATAAGACATTGTTATCGTCAATCCTACCTGTTTTAATAGGACGAATTACCTGCCGTTTCTCCTCAGGTTCTTTTCTTCAAGACGAAGTTGTCGCTACATAGGCCGTTACTTAAACTGTTCATTGCTCATGAATTGTGCCCCTCCCGTAGATAAGCTCCTCTCTCAAAATTCATTGGTTGGATATGTACGAAGATCGACCTCAGCGAGATAAAAATGTGGCTAGCCGAAGAAATGACGGCGAGATATTGGCGTGGCATGCTATGGTTGGACGGACTGAGTGACCGTAGCGGTGCGAAGTGAGATTGAAGTTGAGGATAGTCGAATAAAGAGAACCTGGTACAGGAGCTTCGAGTTTCTTGCCAAAGTCAACAAATTGAAATCTCACATCGCTGTTGTAGCAAGCGCGGCAGCGTTTTCCAACTATCTAATGCACCAAAAGCTTTACGAACACAATTTGAAGATGCACGCTACGGTCTCTGATACGGTACGCGATGCGAAAATAAGCCGCTCTCTTTAAGACGACCATTTGAGTATTTTCCTCATCTCGAAACTACACGCAGATCTGAGAACTTTGCTGTAGATACGGCATGCCTTGAGCAACGGCATCAGTAGTCAGCTCTGGCATTTTATACAGGTGGAGACGATAATAGCTTAAATAGTGTTTTCATCAGGCTGAATTCTGCTTGTGCACAACATCACAAATTTGAGTGAAAATCGAAACATGTCGATTCTGATCCAAGTCTCCATGTCCTACCATTACCGCTCCTGCCAGCTCCATCAAGGACATAAGCACAATCCTTACCTCGAGGAGGATATCCTGGACGCTGTAACGTTCTCTTGTCCTATAATGGCATACAATGCCTTAAGAAACATCACGTGCTATAATACCCGAAATTCGATAGACATTGGCAAATCTATCCAAGTCTGGGTAGGGTGGTAAAGATATTCAGGCAGCGTTCGTGGTGCAAGGGGATGTTCCAATTGAATCGCGTATACAAACAACAATAGATACAACTAATGAGCTATAGTCATGTGGCATTCATTGCGATGTGTAGCACGTCGCTTGTCCTCAAGGTCAACACAGGTAGTTGTTTGAAGTTGTTTTTGAGGACGAGCCTTCACGTCCGTTATTGACTGGGGCGAGACCCTTGTGTCATCCAGCCAGATGATGAATAAAATCTTGACTGGGGCCAAGATCATCTTCTTCCATATCACCAAGAATAGTGGAGGCTGCCACCTTATGGTTACATTTGTATTATTATTAGATGAGTTTTTCACAAGTCTCTATTCAGCAAATTACATAATCGATTCTCAAAGCCGATAAGCTTGCTGCCTGGTAAGCATCAGGTACCTAGATAAAGACCTTACCCATTCCTTTGAACCTATGTTGTCTTCCTGACGACACCGGAGCTCTCTTTCCATATTTACCTTAAGAGAATCTAACAGGCTACTTCCTAAGACAGACATGTACATAGTGGCCCAGTTAGGGCCCAGGAGAATCCCCAGGGTAGGTAAAATAAAAAGGCTTTTCAAGGGACGAGTAGTGGTGTGTGTGTTTACGGAGGTCAGAGGTCTTCTTTTACAGAGACGTAGGTCAGCAGGCTAAGAGCAACATAGTGAAAGTTCGCTCGAGTTGTGGCGGCAGTGTCAAACTAATTGAGCCAGCGCCTAAGGTGATAGCGCTTTTATTTCCACTAACGGCTATTCTTCTCCTTGTTCTATGTGTCGCTTCATCTTTAAAACAATACTGCTACTATGGTAACTACGACCTAATTGTAAAAGGCCTTCTTTGCCACTAGGTTTCTACATGGGTGCTATCGATACTCCCGGGCCAGGGTACCTAGACGAGTATAATCACAATTAAATAAGACACACTTAGCCGTGGCAGAGCCTTATCCTCTCGGTCTCACATATCTGTGTCTGCAAGGTGACTGCCGTCTCACACTATCCTTCTATCCTTTTGAACTTTTCGTTCGGTAGACTCCTTTCGTAGGGCCAAAGTATTATCAAGGACAAATTATCGGTCGTGACATCTTGTTCAGGAATTTTGACACGTAAGAGGAAAATCATACGCATGTGCGCAGTGTCTGTGGTGCGGTCCAGAGGAAGAACCTACGTCGATGACGAGCTACATAAGATCGAGCTTGAGCAGGGAAGAAGTCGTGGGATTTACGGGAGGGTCAAGCCAGAGAGGTCTTGAACCCTCAAGGACCTACTGTCCGACGTCTCAGGCCTTTCTGCAAGTCCAATGACAGTATTAACCGAGGGCGAAAAGACATGATGGGATGGCATCGGTAGATAAAGTCAATTGTGGTGACAGTTGCTGTAGTCTTGTTGTTCTGTGTCGCTGTATCTCAGCGTCTCCAAATGGGGAGATTACTCATAGCCAGCACCCTGGAGACACGCATCGACATGT